TGTGTGTGTGTGTGTGTGTGTGTGTGTGTGAGAGAGAGAGAGAGAGAGAGAGAGAGAGAGAGAGAGAGAGAGAGAGAGAGAGAGAGAGAGAGAGAGGGGGAGGGTCGCTGCTGGTGTCCAGCGGCTTCAGGGTCATCGCCAAAGAAGAATGCTACGGTAGGGTTGTACCCAAAATTCGGTCCAGGTTCCCAACTGCCGTCCATGTGGGGTATATTGAAAAGTTTGACTGGTGCCTGTGGGAGCATCATGGACAGATATCATGCCCAGATGAAACTGGGGTGTTTTCGCAAAGTTGAACTAGTGTCTGGGGGACAGGACAGGGTAAGGCTTTGCAGGGTTGTGACGGAAAGCTATGCATCTTTGAGAGGTATAGTGCAAATTTACCTTATACCCGAGACTGCCGCGTGGCAGTCACAGCCAGTCTTTGCATTATTGTGACATAGTGGAAGTTTCCGTTGTGAGGGCAGACGCTGCAGCTGTAGGTTCGGCTAGCCTTGGGGAGCTGAAGGCGAAGGAAAGGTTAGCAGAGTCTTCCGGTTGATTGATGCTGTGGCAGGAGGAGAGAACGCTAGGCAGAGTAGAAGTACACCTGGACAGAAGCATCACGTGGCGTGACGTTTCTGCACTGGACGTTTGCGGAGCGTAGATCCTTCGGTGCTCACCCCGCGATGGTGCGCCAACGTCGTGCCGGCTCTTGGGCGGAAGGCGGAGAGCCGCCATACTCGGGCGAGGTCAGGGATGGCGATTATCGCGCGTCCTTGCGCAATCAGCCTCCGGCTATGGCGGGACTTCGGAAGGGTAAGCGCTGCGCGGCTAATCGGGCGGGTCGCGCCGGCGCCTCCGCGCCTCCCAGCTGGCTAGGCACGGCTCTGATGTGGGCGTTCATCGCCGCTCTTTTCGTCATGACCGGCGTTGTTCGTATCGGCAATTTCCGAGCATGGTGGGAAATGGTGGAAACGCTGAAGGGAGGAGGACCACGAGCTGTGCGCCGCCATCCTTCTCCCCCAGTTTCGACGTTGCCGCTGTTCCAAGGAGTGCACCGCGAGCGGCTTTTCTGGGGTACATACCGTCCTCATCTTTATTTGGGCATCCGAGCAAGGGTGCCTGAATCCTTGTTGGGTGGACTTATGTGGGTGCAGAGAAAGGAAGGGCGCTATCATCTGCGGCACACGTGTCAAGATGGTGATGGGCTGCAGAAGTATGGCTGGCTTCGTCACGACGGTTCCAAATTTGGTCGGCAGCAGCTCATTGATGGGAACTTACATCTCGCCACTTATTTCCTTAAACATCATGGTCATGGTTCTGGTTATGGAGGCGACTGGGCTGTGAGAATCGTCGCCACCGAAAATGGCACGCCTACCACTACGGCATCAGGGGACGAGGATATGGTGACGAAGAAAAAGACAGTCTCTTTGCTGTTTTACTTCACGGATGAGTCCGGCAAATCCTTTGACATATCTGCGGGTGAGCGCGGTTCAACCAGTCCTGCCAAATCCGCGGGGAAAGGGCTGCTTGCTGTTGGGAAATGGGGAGAAGTGGGCACGTGGCAGCTTCATGTCCGAGGAAAGAAGGGAGCAGCAGATGAGAGTTACGTTGGCCTGAAGGCTCTTCACGTTCACAATTTGACAGAGGTTGTGTGGGGAACTCTCGTGGAGAATTCCAAGTTGTCAGGCAAAGTGAACCTGCCAAACTCTGTTTCAAAGAGATCAAATCTTGTTGTGTATCAGATTACAGCCGAGTTTCCTCTCAAGCTGGATATCATATTTATCTCCAATGTTGTCGGAGACGAGCGATCTACCGCTGGGCGCGTGGATGGACTGAGCGGGGCTCAATTGAGTGCCAAGCTCGCAGACGAGGAGGCTGCCTTCGACAAAAGATTCGACGACACGTTCGAGCTTCACGGGAAGGGTGTGAAGGATGCTGAAGCAGAGGTGGCCAAGGCTGCCCTCAGCAACCTGCTTGGGGGGATGGGCTTCTTCTATGGGCAATCGAAGATCGCAGCGCCCGGTCAAGAACATGGCGGTGGCACGCAGGATCACCTCCTCTACTGGCCTGCATCCTTGTACACAGCAGTGCCAAGCCGTCCCATGTTCCCTCGCGGGTTCCTTTGGGACGAGGGATTTCACCAGTTGTTGATTGGCAAGTGGGATCGCAATATTAGCATGGACGCTATGGCTAGTTGGTTAGACCTGATGAATGTCGATGGATGGATCCCACGAGAGCAGATTCTTGGGGAAGAGGCACGGATGAAAGTGCCTGCGGAATTCGTTCTCCAGCACACTTCCAATGCCAATCCACCAACCCTCTTTCTTCCCATCCAGGAGCTTGCGAAGCAACTGGCTTCTTCCGACACTCTTGCTGCTGAAGAAGGGGAGAGAGAGGCGGTGCGCACATTCCTGAAGAGGAGTTTCCCTCGCCTCCAGTCCTGGTTCCACTGGTTCAATACCAGCCAGATAGGGCAATTGCCAGGAAGCTATTTTTGGCACGGCAGAGATGCAAACACCAACAGCGAGCTCAACCCAAAGACCCTGATGTCCGGCTTGGACGATTACCCGCGCGCTTCACATCCAGGCAATGAGGAGCGCCACCTCGATCTGCGCTGTTGGATGGCACTGGCAGCAGATTCCTTGGCGGTTATTGCGAAAATGGTCGGCGAACGCCACGAACACTACGAAGCAACTGCAGCATGGTTGTCTGACATCAATTTGCTGAACTCGCTGCACTTGGATCTGGAGTCAGGCAGGTACTATGACTATGGCAACCACTCTGACAAGGTTTATCTTCAGCCAAGAGAGTACGTTGATGCGAGAACCGGGTATTTTCACCGTTCGTTTGAACGCGTTGTTCTGAAGGCGCCAGGTCCCGCTCTGGTCCCACACTTCGGCTATGTCTCTCTCTTCCCACTCCTGATCAAACTCCTTCCACCGAACTCTGACAATCTCAGGCAGCAGCTGCAGCTCCTGAGGGATGAGACATTGCTCTGGACAAAGTTTGGGCTTCGATCGCTTGCCACCACAAGCTCTCTTTACAACAAGCGCAACACGGAACATGACGCGCCGTACTGGAGAGGACCGGTGTGGATCAACGTCAACTACTTAGCGTTGTCGGCGCTGAAACACTATGCATCAGTGGAAGGGCATTCGAAGCAGGAGGCGCAGAGGCTGTACGCGGAGCTCAGAGAGAATGTCATCAGGAATGTCGTCCAACGATATCAGGAAAGTGGGTACCTTTGGGAGAACTACGACCACATGAGGAGTGGCAAGGGGAAAGGAGCTCATCCCTTCACCGGATGGACATCCTTGATAGTTTTGATTATGGCGGAGACGTTTTAGCGGCTGGGGGAATTGTCATTGAGTTTTCTATTTCTGCTCTCTCTCACCTTAGCATTTTTAGCCGTGCTGAAACTGCGCATCATTTTTAGCCTATGACCTACCAGCCCGCTCGTTCTCCCGCGTGTGCTTGACTTGTGGTGGTGGGTTGGCAAAAATGCGGATTAGGGTATGCTGCTCAAACTGAGATCGATGAGAGCTTTGTAGTAATCGTAATGAACATAGTCGTAGTTGGCGTCAGGTACGTCCGGAAATGTCACTGTGGGAGTACGCTGTTACACGCGTGCGCTCGTGCGCTTGCTGCTCATCTGACGCTTGGCGTCGCCTGTTTTTTTTTTTTAATTTCTCCCCCCCTTATTGGAGGGCCCAGCACGGCCTTGAGATATCATCGTCGATCTGACCGGCGCCGGGATTCGAACTCAGGCCCGTGTTTCGACTGTTCATGGCTGCTACGCCCCTTGGCGCATCACCTGTTTCAGAGGTGAGTTCCTCCGATCTGTTACTTCTTTTTTTTTTTGCTCTGTAAAAGGTTGTTCTCCATTTCTACCTCCCGTCCGTTCTCCTCTTTCCTCCTCCTCCTCCTCCCCCCCGACGTTCTTACATGACTGCCATAACGAAGTCGGGATTCCCCCCGCCCCCTTCCCTCCGTCATGCGGTTATATGAATTCTCTGGGTGAATGGTCTGCTTCTTGTTCTTCCTCCTCCTCCTCCTCCTCCTCCTTAATTTGGTTTACCGCGCTTTTGTCTTCCTCTTGTCGTCGTTGTGTTTTATTTTCCCTTCCGTTCTCTGTCGCCGGCATTTTTTTAATTTCCTTTTTCGTCCATTCTATTTCGTCGTCATTTTTTGTTGGTTTTCTCTTCCATTCGTTTCCGTCATTCTCCCCCCTCTTTCCCATTGTCTTCCATTCGCCTTCGGCTAGTTGCTTATCAAGCGGGTATTTGCTTTTCTGGATAGCATAATATTCCCCTTCCCCACCACTTCAATTCACACACACACACACACACACACACACACATATATATTAGGATGGTGGGACGATGAGTCAGGTCATTTTCAACGTGAATGAATTTTTGCGAGCATTGTCGAATCATATTTTATTCTGGATTATTGACCGACTCTCGTGTGACACCTGTCGGGACAGAGACGCGGTGCGCCTCGGCTGTGGAATGCATCATCTATGCCATAGCCATTATCAATCTATTGCGATTGCCGCCGTCTGTTCTGAAGGGTGTCCAACATTTCCTCATTGTACACATCCCTATCACCCAGATATACGGTTGTCCCTTTTGTGCCCAAGGACGCTATCAGAACTGTATGATGCCGCACTGTGATGAACGTCCTGCTGTTTTTTTGACACGTGGACAACATGTCCTCTGTCAGGACTGTTTTGATGGGATGGTTCGTGCTAGCCGTCCTGCTGAATGCGGTGCTGGCGCAGCTCTCCTTGGGCATCCTTGTGAACATCCACGTCATCCTCACCGTAGCTGTCCTATCTGCCGAGGTGGGGACAGGTAAAGAAAAAAAGTAGAAAAGACGAAGGGAAAAAAAGAAAAAAAGAGAAAAAAAGAAAAAAAGAGAAAAAGAAAAGATATGTTGATCTGTGGGATGTGTTATTTGCTTTGTGACAATTGGATTATCCTCCCTGTCAGGTTTGGTTTCCTCCATTTCTTTACCTCTTTGCCTTTTGGCTGCGTGCAAGTGGGTCCTTGGGACACACCGGGATGGGGGCAGCCAGCGCTCAACCTGTCATCCACGTGGCCGGCCTTGTACGTAAGACGTGATGAACAGGTGGGGCTTTCCTTCCTTCTTTTCCTTTCCTTGTTTTGCTTTTTTCTGCCTTCGCGCTCTGATTTACAGTGTGACAATATATATTGTCACATTGTGAATCAGAGCGCAAAAAAGGGGAAAGAAAAAGGAAAAGGAAAAAAGGGGGAGGGGGAAGAGGTAAGGAAAGCTCCACCTGTTCATAACCTCTTATATCGTCACATATAAATATATTGTCACAATGTGACAATATATATTGTCACATTGTGAATCAGAGCGCAGAAGCGAAAAAAAGGAAAAGAAAAAAAGGAAAAGGAAAAAAGGGAAAGAGAAGAGGTAAGGAAAGCTCCACCTGTTCATAACCTCTTACGTGCAAGGCCAGCCACGTGGATGACAGGTTGAGCGCTGGCTGCCCCCATCCCCGTGTGTCACAAGGACCCACTTGCACGCTGCCAAAAGGCAAAGAGGTAAAGAAGGGGAGGAGGAAACCAAACCTGACAGGGAAAGAAAGATAGGGAAAGAAAGATAATCCAATTATCACAAAGCAAATAACACATCCCACAGATCAACGTATCTTTTTTTCTTTTTTTTTTTTTTTCTTTTTTTTTTTTCTTTACCTGCCCCCACCTCGGCAGATATCGTCACAAACAGAACTGCCCGGTAAACCGTAGGCAGAGAGAGAAGTAGAGAGAGAGAGAGAGAGAGAGAGAGAGAGAGAGAGAATGAGATTATGCAGGTTTGTTGTCTCTGTCTTGTCATGTCCTCATGTCCAGTCCTCCTCGCGTCTCCTTTTCTCTTGTCCTCGTTTACAATGCCCTTTTCTCCTCCTCCCCTTCCCCCCCCTTCCCCCAACCCTTCACCTCCTTTCTTCTCCTTCTGTCTTTTCCCCCTTCCCTCCTCCTCCCCGCTCCACCCCTACCACTCGCTATTTCTCTTATTACCAGTTCTGCTCTTCCACATTCATCCCCTCTCCTTTCCTCTTGTCCTGTTCGTGTCCTTCTTTCCTCTCTGATCCGCCTGGTGCCAGTTGTTCTCTCTGTGCGGACTGTGATGGGCCCTCTCTCTCTCTCTCTCTCTCTCTCTCTCTCTCTCTCTCTCTCTCTCTCTCTCTCTCTCTCTCTCTCTCTCTCTCTTTCTTGCATGCCGCGTGTGGAGGCTGAGTGATTTGCAACAGTATGTGAAGAAAATGTGGTGCTTTCTCTTTTGGGTGACCACCTACTGGAACGGGAGATTGGCAAAAAAAGGGGAAAAGGAGGAAAAACAAAGAATCCGCGGTAGTAGAAGCATAGCCCTGCTGCTTTTCCCTTTTCCTTTTTTTTTTCCCCCCTTTCTTCTTACCCCTCCTTTTTTTCAGTTTTCAGAACGGGGATGGCCTTGAGATATCATCTTTGAGCTGACCAGCACCAGGTAAATTCAGAGTTTTTTCCGCTCATCAGATTCAATTGGAATTCGAACTCAGGTCTGCATCTCAACAGTTCGTAGGTATACTAACTGAACTAGGCCGGGCCTCGTCCCACTTGCACCGTTGAGTTAGTTGAGATTTCTATCACGTGGGACAAAGCGCGACGTCGGGGATGCAAAGTAGTAGGAGAATCCATTGGTTCTTTTTTTTCCTGCAAAGCCACGTCGTTGTTGTTTTGTTAAATTATAACATAGGGTCTCGTTAGACACCCCTAAAAGTGCCAGTTTTTAGGATTGCTTCGTGGTTGCACGCATTCCTAAATCCGGTTTTGAGATCGAAAATGTGAAAACGGCCTTAGGACTCGTCCTAAAGAAACCGCGTTTGGCGAAGTCGTGGCGGAGTCCTAAATTCTTTAGGACGAGTCGTGGCGTCACGTGCATGGCACCGGCGTCGTGCCGACCTACTGAAAAATTTAGGAAACCGCGTTTGGCGGAGTCATGGCGTCACGTGCATGGCACCGCCGTCTCGGACTCAGTGGTGCAGAAGTTGTCCGTCGGGCCACTCGGAGGCATTTGGCGGGCGGAGGGGGGCAACGACCACCAGTGGTAGCCGTTGGCGGGCGGGGTGGAGTGCGGAGGGCGAGCGGGGGTGCCCTGTTGTCCGTAGTCGACTGTTGGCTTCGTTGCGAAACGCGGACGAGGATGCCGACTGGCGCAGCACGACATACCGACGATGAACGGCCAGTGGATGGGCCCCAACGGTTGAAATTTGAACTGCAGGCGTCCGCTTGTGTCGTCTTGTGCGTATAACGACATATGAAGGTACTGCGGCGGGCGAGGATGACGAACCTCTCGTCAACAGGTGCGCAAAGGCGGACTGGCGAAAGATCTGGCGGAGCGGGCGAGACTGTGGGTCGACGACAAATCATTCTGGACGTCAGGAGAGGGGCGCAGACTCTACAATATCATCAACGAGACACGTGAGCACCTCGTCGCCGTCGCAAACGGGCTTCCACTCCCGAACGTCCCGAGAAGCGTCGCCATGCCCAGATCCAACATCGCGCAGATCAGGATCATGGATGCAGGGCAGTTGCAAGGAGCATTGAGCCGCGCATCGAAAGTCTAGAGTGTGGCCTTGCGGGTTTTGTATGGTTGGGTCTTCAAATCGAGGATACAATGTCGCCTTCTAGTACGTACTGGAATCTGTGGTGACCGACATCGCGCGCGCGATGTGGCATGGTGAGGAGTAGAGTAACGTCGTCAGCCCCGCCGTTTGCGCGCACACGCTAGACATGGGGATGGACCTCCCGCTGTGGTTTGCTGGGGTTCATATCGAAGACAGGCCGGCAAACGACGAGATGGTGCGTACCAGGAGGCAACTGTGATGCGACTGATCGCGGCATTCAGCACGGCGGTCGAAACGGCCCAAAACCTCGATGGGGGACGCGTCGCACATGAACGTCTCTCTCGTCTGGCTGAAAGCTTCAAGGAGCTGTTGGCGGTGTGCATGTGGATCATGCGAATGGCGGGAGATGATCTGCGCTTGCACTATGAAGCCTTCTACTTCGCCAACATGCTCGCCAAGCCCCTGCTCGTCGCGTCAATGCACCGTCTGTTTGATCGTTGACGACACATCATGTCCGCAGCCAACTCCGCGACCGAACGGCTGGGGAAGGCGCAGGTGACGTTGGGGCACTCCCCGAACTTCCTGCCAGACTGGGCGCCTTGCGGCGTTAAGTTCCAACATGACGCCAGCTTGTCAGGGCCCGACGAGGCGAGAGGGCTTCAGTGGTTGGGGACAGGGCCAGCCTCCGCCGCTGCCGACGAAGATGACGAGTGGAGAGGGGGGTGTGCGGCGAGGACGAACGTGACGGTGTCGGGATGATGAAAATGCTGCGATGATGATGATGATGATTATGATGAAGATGACGATGCTGCTGCTGCTGCTGATGATGATGATGATGATGATGATGACGATGACGATGATGATGATGATGACGACGATGATGATGATGATGATGATGATGATGGGAATGACAATGAACTTCATCCCTACGACGATGATGATGATGATGATGACGATGATGATGATAATGATGATGATGACGACGATGATGATGACTACCGTGATGACGAGTTAGCGATGTGGGAGAAGCTGCGAAAGGCCCTGCATGGTGCTCGTCATTGGTTGTAGGTGGCACTATATTTTCCGTAATTTTGGTTTGGCGGGCATTGCAGTAGACGGTCAGTTTCTGCGTAAGGTCATTACGGCGGGCCAATGCTTGTTTTTGTTTTTGGTATGAAAGGTTCGCTTCGTGTGCCTGTTTATCCCTTCCCAAGACATTGATGATGACGACGTGCATTGGTGTGGCAGCCGGGGGGCCTTTTTATTTTGGAGGACAATCACCCATTCGAAGTTCGCGTCCAGACGAACGGGTGGTGTGTGTGAACGATTTTAATTGCTGCAGTTTAGCGACTTCTTTTGGTGTATCATTTTCAGAAGACCTTGCCAGGCTTGTCGTCGCCTTCATACATGTTTGAATGTTGTCGTCTCTGCATTCGATGATGTTGTCATCTCTGCATTCCATGAACAGTGCATTGCATTGAATTTTTTTTATTTTTTTTTTGGCATAAAAGGAAAGTGTGAATAAATGAACATGTGGATCATGAAACTGAAATACATCATTCGCTAATTGAAGACAACAATTGTTAATTGACAACTTTTGATGCAAGTTTTCTTAATCGAAGAGAAGAAACAACAACGACAAAATAAGACGAACCTTTGCAATGCGACGACCGACATTGAACGACTGTTTCCCTAACTGCTTCGACGCAATTGACTGCACGCACGTGTACATTTACAAGCCCGCCAGCGCGCCGCCAGTTAACTACTACGACCGCAAACAGAAGTTCTCCGTTCAAGCGCAGGTGGTAGTCAATTTGGATCTGCGTGTCCTGGACGTCCACGTCGGATACACGGAGCAGGTGGTAGTCGATTTGGATCTGCGAGTCCTGGACGTCCATGTCGGATACCCGGGAAGTGTGCACGACGTCCGTGTCCTGCAGAACTCCGATTTGTGGAGGCGCGCAGAAAGTGGCGAGCTTTTCGATGCCCCTCCGGAGAATTTGCTATACGGTGTCGTCACACGAGGTTACCTTCTCGGGGACAACGGGTACCCCGTTGCCTGTCCATGGATCGTCCAGCCGTATGGAGAAATCGAGCAACGTCTTGACGGGGAACGTTTCGACACGCAGCAGAAGGTGGCACGGCGGTGTGTGGAGAGGGCATTCGGGCGGTTGAAGTGCATGTGGCGTCTATTCCTGCGCACCCACAAAACGAACTTGGAGACCTTGCCGCAGCAATTCGTCGCGGTATGCACTCTCCACAACATCCTCCTGGACGCAGGGATCGAGTTCGACGAGACCTGCTGTGGGAGGTGGATGAAAACGGCGTTCGGTGTAGAGTGGACTTGGGTATGGTGGGAAACGGTGCGGGCGGGAAAGAACAAAGCACGAACGTCGACGGGGACCTGTTGAGGGATGCACTTCGCGACCGGCTGGCTTTGATGTAGGCGCGTGCAGCTGCGGGGTGTGGGTCGTGAAGAATGTGGGAGCGCCACGTTCGGTATGGCGGGAGGCACCGTAGGGTTGATGTCATCGATGATTAGCCTACCGTGGGATGGTCAGTAGTCCGCCCATTCGCACGGGGGGGGGGGGGGGGGGGGGGAGGGGGGGGAAGTTGGTGGTTCTTTGGGATGATAGGTGGGAGTGTGTCGTGGTGCATCGAGAGTGGACTTCGAGTCTGTCTCGGATCGCCACCGGTGTGCAGGTTGTCGTCCAACGGTCCATGATCGACGACGTCAAGTTCGCGGGTGCCGTGTGTCGCCAGTAGTCGTTGCANCTTCGGGTTTGTTTTGTGCTTCCGCGTGTTCTCGGATCGCCACCGGTGTGCAGGTTGTCGTCCAACGGTCCATGATCGACGACGTCAAGTTCGCGGGTGCCCTGTGTCGCCATTAGTCCTTGCACGGTTTAGGGTTGGTTTGTGTTGCGCCTCCGGAGGGAGTGCGGTCTTTCACCGGCGATGTCGTGCCGTGTAGCTGTTGTTTAGAGTAGATGGTCTCCAACCTTACAGAACGGGACATGCGTTTTCTAATTCATTTTGAGTTGATGATTACCTTGAAGTGCTGGAATGGTTTGCAGCGGTTCGTTGTCCATGTGCTTACTGTGAGTTCTGAAATAGATGATAAAGTTGGCCCGAAGTATCTGCACACGTCTCCGCCCAACAGGCCACTCGATGGATTCGGGGTACGCCATCAACAGCGCCGAAGTTACATCGCCGACGGCCTGCAGTCCAGTGGCCCTGCCGATGCAAAAGGCTGACGTGCCACTCTCGAACGTCTTCCCGGAGGCCCACCTATACAACGTGAAAGCAATGACCTGCTCCGCAGGCAATGGCATCCTGTAATGTGTTACCTTCTTCTCGATGTGAGCGGCGCATGCGGCAATGATCTGCATGAAGACAGCCCTGGACATACGCAACTTGTCGCGGAAGTAGTCTTCCGTCGTGTCGTCACGCAACCGGAGATCTTCCCAAGTTCCGCCAGTCCTTCGTTTGGTCCACCATCGTGGCGTTTCCCGCGGGAAGACACCGGAGTAGAGCGTCGTGCACAATTGCAGGACCACTTCATACGCCGCCATGCAATCTGGTGCTTCGACGACGCGCAACTGCGAACGCTTCTGGCTTTCCGTGGACGACATGTCGCCCACCGAGTTAAGGACCACGGCAGTCACTGCCATCGCCACGGCCTCCCTCTCTTCTTTACGCAACCCATGGCCGCCACCGCGAACGGCCATCCCCGACACCCTTTCGCCTCTCATGGATAACACTTGCGACTTCCGCCGAAGATGACCCCGCTGCTCTTCCCTCCCACACGACACTGCGCACGCCGCTCTTGACTCGCACAGACGCGAAAGATGGAGCTCCGCGCCAACGGGATCACCACCGCCGTCATTTGTACGTCCCACACGTCGCCTGCAAGTCCTCCAGCCCACCTCCCTGCGTCTGTGAAAATTCGAATTCGAATTTTCGAACGCCGTCCTTCCCACGCTTCCCACCTCACCCTCCTCGACCGGCAGGGCCCTCCACCGTCTGCATCACGGACACCAGGCTGCAAAGGGCGGACATCGACGGCGCGGCTGTGTATACGTATATGAGAACTGGCCGCGGGAGACCATTTAGGAGGATTCCTAAAAGAAGTTTTTTGGGATTGCGTGCGACGCCGCCTCAGCAAATCCTAAAATTCTTCTAGGACTCGTCCTAGATAATTTAGGATTCCTTTAGGAGTGTCTAACGAGAGCCATAACCTCAAAGAAACTTAAAAAACTCGAATATAAAGCCCCCTACCCTCGCGCCCTAGCGTTGAGCTAGCTGCCTTTTTTTTTGCGTTGTAGCCAGTTCAACGCATTTTTTTTTTTTTTTTTTTTTTTTTTTGAGTTGTGAAATTTTCATTGTTACTTACCTCTTTCATCTTTTGTTGACTGTTGACGTTTCAGTCATCCGTTGTCCGCGCGTTCTTTAGCTTTTTTTGATCCGCAATTCACGGGAATGTTCTTTCTATAGCTGTTTATCCGCGGCTGTACTGCCTGTTTGTGTGCCCTGAATGTGGACAACTTCCCATTCAGGTTCACAATATTTACATCCGTCACATACACACAGGCAGAGTCTCGATGGAAAAAACCTTGGTTGTATCTATGTGTTGTTGAGAAACAAAACTCCATATCTGAGATCAGCCGCGCCACTCGTCTTCAGCAAGTCAGCACGTAGTTTTCCTTGGCAAAGGAACAAGACGTACGGGAAACCACAATTCCCCTGGCCAAGCGACTCAGCGTACAGGAAACCCAATCCGTGCCAATCAAGGAAGCTCACAGCTGTCTCGATGGAATGAAAAACGTTGGCAATATCAATATGTTGTTGAAAAATAAAGCTCTATATCTGAGACCAGCAGCGCCAATCACGCCCTGATCTTGGTTGCATATAGCGTATAACAGGAGAGATGCACCAGCGCTCCAAGTATCCATTTATCACACGCAACACGCCACACCCACCTCCAGCAGGCACTCCTCCTCGGGGCATGCCGGACAAGCTCCACATCCACAACGCATAGACATGGTCGTCGTGGGCCACTAGAGCCGACTAGGTATGGTGGCCTTAGCCTGGGCTAAACCCTAGCTCTAGCTCCAGCAACTTCGGGCACTCAGCGCTAGGTCACTTAGCGGCACGCAGCTGCTAGTGCCTCCCCTGGAGGCGCACTGCGTTACCGCAGCGCTAAAGCCCGTCCTCCCTTATCTTTACATTTCATTATTATCCTTTCATTTTCATTTGGACCGTTTCTCGATTTTAACGGATGTCCCGACGTCGACTTTTTTTTTTTTTTTTTTTTTTTGGAAAGCTTGACAAATTGTATTATAGCAATCAAGAGGACGGGGACCTCACAATTCAACCCGGAGTTATCCTGGCAGCGTCAGCCAGTTTAGCTTACGAGCAACGCTCGAATCCATTAAAAACGATGCAACTGAGTCTTGAACTTGCTGGAAACCGGGTCCAGCGTCCCCTGCTGGTAAATTACTTTCCAAAATTGACAAAAAAAGTTCGCATCGAAGCACAAATACACATTGCATGATTCCCCAAAACTGCCGGAAACCAGCTTTGCTAACATTAAACAACCTGAGGCACAGGGAAGGCTTTCCGCCGGCCAACTCCCCTAAATTCGTACAGCTGGGCATACCTCCTCTCTCAGCCCTCACGTCGACTTTTTTTTTTTTTTTTTTTTTTTTTTTTTTTNAGAGAGAGAGAGAGAGAGAGAGAGAGAGAGAGAGAGAGAGAGAGAGAGAGAGAGAGAGAGAGAGAGAGAGAGAGAGAGAGATGGACAGATGGAAAAAGACCTGTCGACTTTCCTAATTGGGCATGTAGAGAGAGAGAGAGAGAGAGAGAGAGAGAGAGAGAGAGATGGAAAAAGACCTGTCGACTTTCCTAATTGGGCAAGTGACATGGATCGATTTGCTCCATGGGAAAGAAAACGAAAATTCCAAAGATATGTGTAGGTGGAAAAAAAAAACAAAAAACAAATGCATTTTTCTTTTCTACGGAATAAAAAAATGCTTGAAAAGCTGTCACACCGTTGAGGTAGCTCAACTCAACGGTGCAAGTGGTGTCTGCTGCTATCCTGTGTTACCTACGGTAGCCTATTCTGGTGGCGATATACACATATCTGCTGCTTTTCCTGTGGTAGGCTTGGATCCCACAGTGCGTTTTGAAGAAAAAGTCGGAAAAGTACCCTGAAACTCGTGCCCGCGCCAACCAGTTCGTAAGAACGAATTTGCATCCCATAGGCCCGACGGGGAAGGCACTTCTCCACAAATTTTGCCGATATGCACTCCATCTACGGACATCCAACGGCCAACGACCACGAACCGACAACAGAAAAAAGGGAAAACCCAATTTTGCAGAGGCACCTACTTTCAGGGGGAGGGGGTAGGGGTCGGGAGCTTTTGGAAATTCGTTCACGAACCAGCCGTGACTCTCTCCCGTGCTGCCACGAAGGAGGCCCAGAGAAGAAACAGCCGAAAACGTGTGGGATTTCTTTTTCTTAACGGAAGTACCCCCACTAAAGATTGTGGGATCCAAGCCTTGCCTGCGGTAGCCTATTTTGGTGGCGATATACAAGTAACTGCTGCTTTCCCTGTGTTACCTACCGTAGCCTATTTTGGTGGAGATATACATGCTCGCTCTTCGCTGTTTTGTGTTAGTAATTGATGTGATTTCAAATAAAAGGACGGCGGTATTTGTCAGCGAATTTTTGAGGGGCTAAGTCGCACTACACTAACGGGGGTTTAAACTTGGTTTCGTGTACGCACAGGTTCCTGCCATCCCATCTGAGAATCTGACGGTCGTACTGTGGCCATAGTGAAAAATATTCGAAAACTAGTGGGACCTAGGCCTGGGCCATCCGTTAAACCAGCAGTACAAAATACTCGAAAACTTGTGGGACCTAGGGCCGGGGGTCCGGTAAACCACCAGTACGTTTCCAAGCCGTTTTGCAGAACCTCGGGCAGTATGTACCCAGGTCCATGCAAATTGGGCCTTGCTTTTAGCTGTTTTGTCTGGATGGTTTTCGCCTGCATGATTCGCCCCTCAGTACACCTGCATGCATGCACAGCGCGTTTCTGCAAAATGGCTCCGTTTGGCCTGGATGGCACCTTGGTACATCCCGCCTGATGCGCCTGCATGCGTGGATGGTTTCTGCAGAATGACTCCGTTTTGCCTGGATGGATGTCGGGTGAAATGGCACCTTGATACACCCCGCCAGATGTGCCTGCATGCACAAGGCGTTTCTGCGAAAGTGGAAGGATGCAGCCAAGATTAGCATGGCCCCCTGCGCAAAAAAGATTAGTCAGCATTGATGCAGTGAATGTGGTCAGATGCATAAAATCTGACAGCTTACGGCTCAGGGGTTCATGATAAAATATACCCTGATGTTGCCCACATTTTACATTTCTTGGAAAATGTGTGTGTGTGTGTGTGTGTGTGTGTGTGTGTGTGTGTGTGTGCTTGTTTTTAATGAATCATAGGGCCACCGTGAAAACTGCAGTTACCACAGGCCTCCATTAGTCAGCATTGATGCAGTGAAGGTGGTCAGATGCATAAAATCTGACAGCTTACGGCTCAGGGGTACATCATTAAGTAGACCCTGATGTTACCTGTGTTTTACACTTCTTGGAAACGTTGTGTGTGTGTGTGTGTGTGTGTGTGTGTGTGTGTGTGTGTTTAATGAATCATAGGGCCACAGTGATGCAAACCACGGCGGGCTGCATTTAAGTATGCGATCAAAATCATACCAGAACAGAGTGATCCACATTGTATGGTAACTACAGAAGGCACACATCGCAAACAAGAAAGCATAAAAATGTGCATACAGCTGCCTCTATCTTTCACCAGTGTGTGTGCGTGTGTTTAATGAGTCTTAGGGCCACCGTGATGCAGATCATGGCGAGCTGCGTTTAAATATGCAATCAGAATCATACCAGAGCAAATTGATCGACATAGTATTATGATAACTAGATGTGGCATACTGCGCATCCACACGGGCCTGCAAGGCCCGACCAAACAAGTAAGGGCTCTACAGGCCCTGTGTCGTTTTCAGCTTGAAAGCCTGAGAACAAGGGCCTACAGGCCCTGTGTCGTTCAGCCTGACAGCCTGAGAATAAGGGCCTACAGGCCCTGTGTCGTTTCAGCCTGACAGTCTGAAAACAAGGGCCTACCGGCCCTGTGTCGTGTCAGACTAACAGCCTGAAAACGAGGGCCTACAGGCCGTGGGTTGGTTCAGCCTGACAAGCCTGAAAACAAGGGCCTATAGGCCTTCAGTCTTTAGCCAAAAGCTACCTGGAAACTACCCGGAAGCTTCCTCAGGGGCTAGCACGTTCTGGCATTGGCAAGAGCGGCCTCCCGGAAGCTTCCTCAGGGTCTAGCCCGTTTGGGCATTGGCAAGAGCAGCCTCCTGGACGGGCCAGCACTATATAAGACTGGCCCGCCCTACAGGAAGGAGGTAGTTCATAAGGACTGGCCAGGCACTTAACGTGCAGTTCAGGAGGCAGAAGGCAGGATTCGGCAGCAGCACTCTGGAGGAGCGCTGCAGGAGTAGCTTTAGAGCTAGCAGTAGTCTTCAGCGCTGGGCGCTAGTAGCGGTAGTGGTAGTCTTCAGCACTGGGCGCTGGTAGGAGTAGAGTAGTGTTGGAGAGAGAGATGGCTGGCGGAGGCCAGAGAGACGTACCTGTGGCGCCATAGCTCCAGCTTCATCTTCGTGATACCTGCATCAAGGCGCCAACTTCACAGGTTAGTACCGGATTGCGAGAGAGAGAGAGAGAGAGTTCTTCTTCCTCTTATAAGTCCACCATCTCTTCTTCACCCTCTCGCTACCTGACTTCTCAGTATCTGCGGACTACGAGCGAGCGAGAGAGAGAGAGAGAGAGAGAGAGAGAGAGAGAGAGAGAGAGAGAGAGAGAGAGAGAGAGTTCTTCTTCTTCCTCTTATAAGTCCACCATCTCTTAAAATTCCTGATAATTGCATTTCGTTTTATCTGAAAATTTCTGATATTAGCATTTCGTTTTCACGCAACAAATATCTGAAAATTTCTGATATTCGCATACATTTTTCTGATGTTAGGATTTCGTTTTCTAGGCATATTGGGATAACCATACAGGTGGTCATATTCTCGGAAACGAGATTTATTCTTTTCTGAAAATCGAATCTCCATTCTATCTCGCTAATTTTTTTTGAAAACCTAAATCTTGCGAAGCCTATCAGCATTTCGTTTTTAGGTATATTAGGAGGTTGTCATATTTTCTGAAAATCGCATCTCTACTCCTGGCCTAGATCTCGCTCATAGTACTCCTCTGACATGCCTCACCGATAACAGATCGACAAATATACAAAAAAAAACAAAAAAAGGGGGGGGGTTGATCCTCTTCTTTTATTTTTTTATTTTATTTTATCCTGTTGATTAGGACCGGGAGGAAAGTATAGCTTGGTTGGTTACCTACCTGCGTTTTCCCTCCCACCCAACCCTTTGCCTGCATCCCCAGTTTGGTACAGTGCCACGTCAGCAATGCCAAGTCAGCAGTGCCATGTCAGTAGTGCCACATCAGCAACAGTGCCACGTCAGCAACAGAGCCACGTCAGCAGTGCCGAGGCTGAGGAACAGTGTCAGGCGGCAGCCAAAGCTGCCCGCCTACAAGCTGAAGCGGTGGCAGCAACTGAAACACAAGGGCTTCAGGCCGAAGTAGACGTAGATACCTAGGCACGCCGCAAGGAGGCCGAAGATCTGCTACAGTGGCATGAAGCCACCAGCATCGAAAAGCTCTAGTTCTGGCATTTTGAACCATCCGAGCACCACGAGGATGCGACACCGGAAGAGCAGCACAAGGAGTTCCTTGCCAAACTCGTGACCCGGTTGGTTTACACTTGTAACCACCTGCAGTCCGAGTTGGCGAATCTCCGACGGGCGGTGCGGAACCACAAGGATCTGCACGAGGATGCTACACGGGCACTTGATTCCCGTGTACAGGACTTGGAGCAAGTGACACCAAGACCAGATGCTGGCGAGTCCAGCAATGCMCCCTCTACCCGCCAATTGGGGGAACGAGTTGACCATGTAGTCGCAATGCTCGACGACATCAGCACCTTCGCTGCACCAGCCACCATCAGCAAGCAGTTGGACACCTTGAAGACCGAGGTTCAGCAACTGCACCAGCTGCCCAACAAGGATGACAACACCAGTGCGCAGCACTACAAGATGCCGACATTCTGCATCGAAAAGTTCGACGATTATACGCATCAAGACCCGGTCCCCTGGTGGGAGGGCTTTACGACGGAACTTCGGATTCTTTTTGTCCCCGAGCACTCGTACATCGGCGCGCTGTTCCTCAACTCAAAAGGCGGATGCTAGATCTGGCTCAGCCATCTGGCGTTGAGTTGCCATGCCGTACGAGATAGGTAGTCTGCTCTACGGGATAGCGCGTATGCAACCTTGTTGTACTCTCCCTTCAGGTACTCAAGCTTGAAGTCGTATTGATCTATGAACTCAATCCATCGCTTGAGTGCATCAGAAAAAGCCGGTTGAGTCTTGATCCATTTGAGGGTCTGATGATCAGTCCTCAGATAGAATAACCTTCCCAGAAGGAAGTGTCTCCAATGGACAAGTGCCTTGTAGAGAGCATAGAGTTCCCTTTCGTAGGTGGACTTAGCCAACATCTTCGATGGAATCTTCTTACTCATGTACTCAATCGGTCTCCAATTTTTCCCATCCTGCTGAGCCAGCACTGCGCCAATGCCGTATTGGCTTGCGTCAATGGTCACTATGAATGACTTTTGCGAATTGGGAACCATGAGAACTCCATGATTCATGAGTGCATGCTTCAATCTCTTGAAAGCACCCTCGCACTCATCACTCCAGTCCCACGATGTGTCAAGTCGAGTTAGATCAGTCAAAGGAGAGGCGACTGTAGAATAGTTCTTGACGAAGTTCCTATAGTAGCCGCACATTCCTAAGAATGATCTGACCTCAGTGACTGTCTGAGGTCGTGGCCATTCTCGAATACTAGCCACCTTCGCATCTTCCGGCCTAATCCCCTCCGCGGATACTTCATGACCCAAGTATAGTATCTTAATGCGGCCAAACTCGTGCTTCTTTAAGTTGACCTTATACTTGTGTTGTCGCAGGAGTGAGAAAACTTTCTCAACATGCTGTGCGTGCTCCTCGACAGACTTACTAAAGATCAGAATGTCGTCTAAGTAGACCACGACAAACTTATCTAAATGGTCATGGAAGATCCGATTCATGGCGTGCTGGAACGTACCCGGCGCATTACAAAGACCGAAAGGCATCACTACAAACTCATACAGACCATATCTAGTCTGAAAAGTTGTCTTGTGTTGGTCCTCAAGTCTTATTGCGATCTGGTGATAACCGGATTTCAAGTCTATCTTTGTATAGTACTTGCATCCTTGCACCCTATCCAATAGGTCGTCTATGCGAGGTAGAGGCTTTGCGTTTTTCACCGTGATGGCATTGAGGCCCCTATAATCAATGCACATCCTCAAAGTACCCCCCTTCTTTGGCACGAATAGCACATGTGATCCGTAAGGGGAAGTACTAGGCCGAATCCATCCCTTCTCTGTCAGCCCCTTGAGTTGCTTCCGAAGTTCATCTAACTCGGCAGGGGCCATCCTGTAGATCCTTCCCTTTGGGGTCTTACTCCCTGGAATGATTTCTATAGCGTGGACGACTTCAGTATCAACAACTCCTGAGGGCTCCTCGAACAGATCGGGGAACTTAGCAACGACGCTTTCAATATCTGGAGGTGTTTTAATGGCCTCCCCCTTCTCAGAGACGTAAACGAGGTACATACCTTCCTCTTGGTTTTGCTTGTAGTAGTTATAGAACACTGATGCACACAAGCAGCCATAGGTATCTATAATACTGCTGGCCTTGAACTTAGTCAATCTGACAGTTCGGCCATTGGGCAACTTATGCTTAAGCACCTTCTTATCCCAGTCGAACTGGGGCTTAGCAACTTCGAGGTAGTACATGCCTAACAACATTTCGAATGGCAAGCTCTCCTCCTCCATAGGAGAAGGTACAGACTACGTCCTTGATGTAGTCTGTGACAATCATGCGCTCTTTGTTGGCCAAACTAGATGCTACTGGTCTGTTAAGGTGCCGTACCCGGTCCTGTAGGTGCAGCCTTTCCAAACAATCGCGACTTATGTAATTTCGCGTGAATCCGTTGTCTATGAAGGCTCCACATTTGCGGCCTCCTACATCCACTTCCACCACGAAATGTTCCCCTCTAGGACCCTTCTTTAGCGCCACCCAAGACTCGCGAGGGTCCTTGTTTGACCACTCGCCTTCTAAGTCTTCTAAGGCCTCAGACACATCTAACGTACAGAGCATAGTTTGGTCTAGATGCGTCTGCGGGGTGACTAAGGAGTCATTAGCTTCGGCCTTGTCATGAAGCGAGAAGGGTATCATGCCCACTTCATCTTGAGTAAATGCCGCTACTACTTCCACTGGCCCTACGCGTTTCCCGAGCTAGAAGCGTGGGAATAAGTTGCCCCCACTTTTGGCGCAACCTTTTGCGCAACCTTCGCGTTCTGACACTTCCACTGCGTGTGTCCGTACTCTCCGCAGTTGATACAAGCGCCACGCATTCGGCGGTCACGCCACACGTCTTGATCAAGACCTGCCTTTACCCACTCAGATTGTTTGGTCTGATTGGAGGCGGCCTTTCCTTGACCCCTAGGTTGGCCCTTCCCTCGGCCTGCCGTCTTAGCCTTAACTACCGCGGTGAGGGTGCTACCCTCAGCTACCTCCTCGCCGTCATACTCTGAGTAGTCCATCAGGTTAGAGAGCTCATCAATCTCAGTTTGAGTCCCATCAGACGCAACCATCATCAACTTCGCCCCCTTCTTCTTCCACTCCTGAGGACTCTTCTTCTTCTTTGAGTCATTCCCTGAGGTGGGTTGAGCATTGCCTAGYGTGGCCTCTAAGTCTAAGGCTTTCCTAGACAATGTCTCAAACGAGTGGTACTCGGTGCGTGCCTCACTGGCTAGTAAGTTCCTCATGTTCTCTGGGAGACATCTGACAAACGTAAGCAACAGGAGCTGGTCGCTGTAGTTGATACCTGGGACGAGGATCAGGCTCTCGATGGTAGTCGTAAGCTCCCTAACTGACCTGAACTTGCTTTGGTCCAGTTTGTTAATGGCATCAGTGGCCCTTTGAGCCTCCTGTGGGTTATGCCACCGAGCTTCTACCATCTCCATGAATTGGTCTAAAGTCAAAGACTTAGCCCAATCCGCCATGCGTCTCCCGTACCTGGCCTTCACAACTACACCATCTAACCACTTGGCTGCCTTACCCTCAAGGTCAGACGCCGTAGTTACCACTTCGTCCTCAGGCAAGGTCCTTTTGGCCTTCACCCAAACCGGGACTGTCCTCAACCAAGTGTTGAGTTCCTCGTCCTTTCTCTCGCCTGAGAAGGCCAGAGGCGGTTTCATTGGGGTCTTGGGATACCATTGACCTTGCGGCTGTCCAATTGGCTGAACAGGTTGTTGTGGTGATGCAACAATCACCACTGGACCCGAAGAAGAAGATGCAACAGTCTGCTGCTGCTGCAGATGTGCCACTTGGCTGTGTGCCAGCTTGTACGGCAAAGGGGCCTGACATCGCCGTTAACGGCAACGACGATTGTGCTGGTGGTCGGAATCCTGGCTTTGTCAATGCATCCAAGATCTGGTTCAAAGTGCTTTGCATGAGGTCCATCCTGCTGTCTACGTGCGCATGCAGTGACAACATGTTGTCCCTCAACACTTTCAGGGTATCAGACAAACTCGATTCGTCCAATCCCTCTAACGCAGCCTTGTCAGCCTCTAACGTATCAAGTCTGGCTGCTCTCCTTTTTATCTCTTTTTCTCTATCGGTTGCTTTCTTCAGATCCTCCTAATTGCTGGCGGAGCCTCTCGACCTGCTGGATTTCTCTGAGCTCCCTCTCATGTGGGGTCAACGGGCTGAACTGCGATCCTGCCATTTGACTAGAAGATTGTCTAGACCCTGTTGAACCGGAAGTGCCCGAGGAACTCGTGGAACTCAGTGGCATTCCCAACTGAGTCCCACTAGTCCCTGACGAGAACGCAGACGATGACGCAGCAGAGCTGGTACCGTTAGCCATTGCTGCTGCTCTGGCTGCTGTTGCCCGCTCTCTTGCTACTCTGTTTGCTTCCTGTAGTCCTGCTGCTAGAGCACGGGCTCTACGTTCGGCACGAAGCCGTCTTTCTTCTCCCTCGTCCAAGGTCCTGAACATGTGTGGAACCCTTGATGCTTCCGAACGTGTAAGTCTCCTATGTTCAGCTCTATCATCAACAGGATCTGATCCACTCATTAGTTAGGCAGATAGTTTCTGCACTAGAATCCCCTAGTGGAATCCTACCACAACATGTATCTGACCGGCACCTAATTTTCTATCAATAGTTGTGTCCGGCAAGTATCCTACTGTACCGAATCAAGTGGCATGTCTACAACATTCACACAGATGGTCTACATAGTCTACATGCACCCTGAATGGTTCACTTACAGCAGCGTTAGTTAGAACTGATTCCTACACTAATTCTGTCTGTGAGGTTAGCAGTCCGTCAACCAACTAATCAAAGGTACAAAAAGACAATGTAGCAGATGTATGATTGATGGGTATGGTTGTGTATGCAGTTGAGCACCAATAAGAACCTACCCTCCCCTCCATAACATACCGAACAGCATCATTGAGCGAGCAGTGTCTTCGTGTGTGTATCGGCCCACCCCTGTGCCCAAATTGTCACCGAGCAAGCCAGCCCAACCACTCTTATTTACCCTCGTACGACGACGAGCCTTCCTGTCCATGTGATCTGGCTGATTAGGAGGAATTCATAGAGCGCCCCCATCTCTTCAGGGATTATTTAACGTCGCAGTCAGGACGACGATCACAGCCAGATTCACAATGAACTCCCAACCAGAAATATTTATAGACGGTCTGGTAGTGTCTGTCATGGGCTGGCACACCCGGAGGAACTTCTATTAGCGCAGCAAGTGCCAAACAGGACAGCAGCCATCGCATGCGTGCACTACTCCCTGTGGGTTGGCATGGTGACCGTGACCCAAGTGCTTCGACCAGGGCCCTTCAGAGGCACCCCCCTTTCTCCTTCCAGTATGCTTCCGGGAAGATTGACGTCTCTCAAGGTAGCGCGCTCACGACACCTCACCAAAAGAGAGGACTCTCAAGTTGGACTCACTTCCTCACGGTAAGAAGAGATTGAGAGCTTAGATAAGGTAAGGGAACAACATACCTGGAGATAGCTGCCCCCAACCACAGATTTCTCACCAATTGAGCTGATGTTGCATTTGATGACTGGTCATGACCTCGGTGCCACCCACAACGCAATGCAGTGCCACCTTAGTCCAATGTCACATCAGCATGCTGTCATCATCAATCAAACATTCCGCTGTATCCCACGGCAAACAATGCCGTAATATCCTTCCGGTGCACTCCTCTCTACCCAGGGCGTGCACCTATCAATGGCCTGACGTCACAAGTACCAACTGCGAAGAAGCATCATCAACGCACCATATCTGTATTACGCCAGGATGCCGAAGGTAAGTGGCGATCAAACCAGCTCCGATACCAAATTGCAAGGAATATGAGTATGGACGAAGCACAGAAATCCAGAATGCAAGATCACACTGAAGTCCAAGTATTCAAAGCTAAAGCAGATAGCACATGGAACCGAGTAACCATCCCATTGAGAATGATACAGAAGAATCGTGAGTCAATGTCCATGCCCAACAGGGCAACACCAACAGCATAACCCAAATGTAGCTCTCTCTTGTGAATGGCGCCAGGCGCCCTATGTACTCTACAGCTTATCCTACAACTACAGCAATGAACAGCAACCAGAGAACTTGACTACGAACTTGACTACCAGCGAGTGATGATGTCAACACCAATGCAGACCTCCACCATCACCAGGTACGTGTCCTCTTCCCCACACTCTCCCTTGTTACCCACACAGCGTCCTTCACCTCCGAAGTACCACCTTCGCCCTTCACCCCTCTGCAGCCTCTGCAGCCCGGCTATGGCCGCCAAGCGCCCAGTGCACAGGCAGTGCCCTACCGTCTAGCGCATGCCTGCCTTGCACTACCTCTTAGCGCAGCGCAGCAGCCAGCAGCTTGCATTTGCGCAGCGTGCCGGCATTGCCCGCAATGGCCAAGGTCCCCGCTGCCTCGCCCTGCTTGCCTATATGCCAGTGCAGCGTGTGGGCGGCCTCCCTTCAGCCTGTGACCGGGGCCCAGAGGCTGAAGGCAACTCGATACAGTTGGGCCCCGGGGCAATGCAGTTGCGCCTCCTTCATCAAGGCCTGCGGCCAGATTCAGACAGTGGGCCAATTTCCCTTTTGCATTTTCGGCCTCTCTACCCAGCATGCATTGTCGGCCTCACGTTCGAGTGCCCAGGGCCTAACTAACTCAGAGGCCCTGGGCATTTCAGCATTTGCTGAAATCCGAGACTCGGTGCACTCCAACCAACTGGCGTGCTGCAACTGTATAGACCCCACTTCGTGAAATGTTGGCACAGAGGGCTCTTGTTGACTTGCTGGCCCGCCTTCACTTAGGGCGGGCACTAGGCTTGTTGGGGCCTTAGCCCAGAACATGTACATCATGGCAAGGCCCCTACTTGAGGGCTCAATCCTCACACTTGGGGCCACGCGTTCGGAGGAAGTCGCAGCCCATGCAAGTCACATTGGCTGACAGTCACACGCACAAGTCAATTGATTGGTGCATTGACCCCGTCCCCGTGTATTTCGCTCCGCATGTAAGCGAGGCTGTGCCCTTCGACATTTTGGACACCAAGTTCGCAGATTTGCAAGCATCTGCACCACTGATCTACGCCAACTACAAGCGACGAAGACCAGCTAAGGAAGCTTCGCAAACCTGCCCCTCCCACCCAGACTTTGGTCCCTCCCTCCGACAGGCAGCTTCGCCCTCGCAGGTAAGCTCGGTCTTTCAAGGAGGGGGGGGTGTGGCATACGGCGCATCCACACGGGCCTGCAAGGCCCGACCAAACAAGGAAAGTAAGGGCTCTTCGGACGCTATGTCGATTTCAGCTTGAAAGCCTGAAAACAAGGGTTTACAGGCCCTGTGTCGTGTCAGACTGACAGCCTGAAAATGAGGGCCTACAGGCCCTGGGTCGGTTCAGCCTGACAAGCCTGAAAACAAGGGCCTATAGGCCCTCAGTCTTTAGCCAGAAGCTACCTGGAAACTACCCGGAAGCTTCCTCAGGGGCTAGCACGTTCTGGCATTGGCAAGAG